ACGCCGGAAGAAGTGGCTGCCTCTGCGCCCACCATGACGAGCGCTCTGCTCGCCTTCACCATCGAATTGCACCAGAAGCTTCGCGAGGTGGGCGGCTCCAGGAACGTGCTCTTCTCGCCGTTCCTCGCCGCGGGCGCCCTGATCGCGCTCTTCCACGGCGCCAGGGGTCGCGCGGCTCGTCACCTGGCGCGCCTGCTGCACCTGGACGAGTCGGACGCGCCGCGCGCCGTGGCGTACTTCGCGCGCTGCCACGACCAGCTGTTCGCCTCGTGGCCCAACCACCACCGACAGGGCTTCAACGCCACGCACGACCTGGCGCTGATACGCGACCGGAACCTGAACATGCTCGCCGCGTACATCGCCTCGCTCTCGCCTTGGTGCCGCACCGAGCCGGACTTCTTCGAGGTGAACGGAGGCGTAGAATTAAGGATGGTCCTGTACTAAAGGAAACACTAAAGCGGACCAATAAGTTTAGACTGAAAACGCGGAAGTAATTAAATTGCGAACAGCAATAAAGCTAAATCACTGATTACTTCCCTGGAACATTTGAGGAGAAAACTCTCTATGTTTACAGCGCTTACATGGTTCAACTAACGCTTTCAATAAATCATTTTTACCTACTGCCATTGAAGACTGGAATAACCCGCCTGAATCCATAGCGCATGAACAAAACCCCTTAAAATTTAAACAGCTAATTACAAATCACTTGATATGTTAGTTAATTTACAATTGTTGCCGTTTTCTTACACGTGTATATATATATATATATATATATATATATATATATATATATATATATATATATATATATATATATATATATATATATATATATATATATATTTCCTTTTGTTGACATTGTTTTTTTATCATGTAGTTCACTTTCGATTATGCTTTGTACCATTGACAATCATGCATCTGTTGAATTGTGTTTTTGCCTCCCCCTTATGTAATACCCCACAAGGGGCCTTTAAGGGTTCAATAAATGATGAATGATGATGATAAAATCTTGATGTCTCATCAGACACAAAAATTGGCCGTAAGCGGCATCAACTCAGTGTATAGAAAAAAAAATATTCTTCACGTGATGACGTCGTCATGTGACGTCACTGAGGCGTCACAGATATCCATGTTCATGACGTCGCCTGATGTCTTAATCACATAACCAGCGTCTACTGCTTCCTACGTAGCGTCTAAGCAATAAAAAAAAATAAAGTACATTAGGCCTCCTACAGATGACAATGTACTCCATCGGTAGGCCTACCATATGAAGTTTCAAAGAGTTTCGTCGAGCCGACGTCGGGAAAATGCGAGAAATTCATGTTGAAATTAGTGACGTCAGACGCGAGGAATCCGGCCCGAAATTGAAGCCTCGACTGTGACTTTCTCCGCTAATAACGAACTTACGATAGTGAAACTTATGACATTGGACTTCTGAGAGTGCAGTTTATCAATCTAAGCCACTTTATTTTCTCTACTTCATCATCATCATCATGATCAGCCTGACTACGTCCACTGCAGGACAAAGGCCTCTCCCATGTTCCGCCAGTTAACCCGGTCCTGTGCTTGCTGCTGTCAATTTATACCCGCAAACTTCTCAATCTCATCTGCCCACCTAACCTTCTGTCTCCCCCTAACCCGTTTCCCTTCTCTGGGAATCCAGTTAGTTACCCTTAATGACCAGCGGTTGTCCTGTCTACGCGCTACATGCCCGGCCCATGTCCATTTCCTCTTCTTTATTTCAACTATGATATCCTTAACCCCTGTTTGTCCCCTAATCCACCTGGATTAGGGGACAAGGATATACGCAGCGTATATCCTCATCCTATACTTAGTGTTTCTCTACTTAGTGTCCCTTTAATCTTTCTGCTCAGTCGGACATGGGCAGCGCGGTCATCCGCATGGACCTCTGGATCCGGGCCCTGACGGCGTTTGCCTTTCGCGAGTACACGGTGTTCGAATTCCCGCCCACCATGGGCCGTGAGCCGGTGTTGCTCGTCTCCATCGCCGTCCTCTTCGTGAAGGGCCGATGGCGACATCGCTTCGAGCCGGGCACCGGCGACTTCCACGAGACGCCCACCAGGATGCGCTCCGTGCGCGTCATGCGCCGGCGCGGCAAGTTCCGCATAGGTACGCGTCATGAAATTGCAGGTGGTCAGCTAATGCCTTGATAGCCTAACGATTCACTGATCTACGAGATCCATAAGAACCCTTGCAATGACGTTATTCTAAGAGTAAACACCTGATTGATTTGTTGGGTTTAACGTCCCGAAACCATGATACGATTATGAGAGACGCCGTAGTGGAGGGCTCCGAAAATTTCGACCACCTTGGGTTCTTTAACGTGCACATAAATCTGAGCACACGGGCCTACAACATTTCCGCCTCCATCGGAGGTGCAGCCGCCGCAGCCGGGATTCGATTCCGCGACCTGCGGATTAGCAACCGAGTACCTTACCCACCAGACCACCGCGGCGGGGCAAGAGTAAACACCTATACTTTATGAAAACAACATCATAATCAAATTTTCAAGACGCGTTTAGGCTGAGCGAAGAAGACAACACGCTTGAAACATAGAAACTGCGCAGTCACGAACACGCTGTGTGCGAAATTTAAACATGTCTTCAAAAATGAGCCGTTGCTTAGCTCGGCGGTGCAAGGATATACGCAGCGTATATCCTCATCCTCTGCTTCCCTCGCACAATTAAAACGTGCACAATTTACTCGGCGTGGAATGCAAAACTTCAATGGGCGAGTCTGTTAGGTGACTATAACATCACGTAAAAACTAGCAACGTTACTAAAGATTGCGTAACTTGAAAATCATTCAACTCATGCCACAATTAGCCGTGCGATTAAAGGTAACCCCACGTAACAACTATAGTCACATGACTAAAATCACGAACATCACATCCGTCTAGTAGTAGCGCGACATGTTCTCGCCGAAACCACGTAACACGCGAGTAGTGTGGAGAACCGGTTCATACCCGACAGGAGTAGCCAAGTCTAGCCGTATTTAGTATATACTACGAGAAAAAAAAAGTTTGCATCACCAGCAAAAGTTTCCAATTACTGACAAATATAGTTCGAAGAAGTTGTTCCAGCCTCGCATTCCTATACTGAAAGTTCCGTTATTTTTGTAATAATTTCATTCCACATATTCGGCAGTGTTCTGCTGTAATCGTGTTTAGCTTTATTCATAATTCCGAACAGTGCTACTGTTGCCTTGTTTATTACCGTAACCTACCTTTAACGAGAAGTCCAAATACATTATCTGACTTTGGAACATGCTTATGCATGTTAAACAGATGCAATAGCGCTGTATTTGTATCAGTAAGATTTTGAATTTTGCATAATAACATTTATTTGTAACGTTCTGGCGCGCACACAATAGACGTGGAAACGGAAGGCGAGAAGGCGCTTGTTTGTGTTCTCGCCCTCCGTTTTTACGTCCACGGTGTGCGCGCTGAAATGTTAACAAGAATGTCCTCAAACAAATTGCCAAACTTTCCATACTATTACTGCATAATCACTCGATCAGGCCACGAATAGCAAGTTATAATCACTGAATTTGACAGGGATTGATTGATTTGTAGGGTTTAACGTCCCAAAACCACCACATGATTATGAGAGACGTCGTAGTGGAGGCCTCCGGAAATTTAGACCACCTGGGGTTCTTTAACGTGCACCCAAGTTAGAGCACATGGGCACACAGCATTTTCGCCTCCGTCGAAAATGCAGCAGCCACCGCAGCAATTTGACAGGGAAGGCGGCCCGGTAGGTCTCAGAATGAACAAAGGAAAAGTTTCATAGTCTCGGAAGAGAACAAATCTTCACGATAGGTATAGTGAGGCTGTCAAAGTATTAAACTACTAGATAACCCACATCTAAAAGACGCGTAACCTGTGCGTTAAAGCTATAACTCACTTTGTGCTCACAAGACTTCTTGAGGACCGACTTGAGGCCACGTAAAGAAATACTTAGAACTGGTATTCACCGCATGCAGTGCTGAACCACGAGACCAGTGTAACTAGAGTAATAACAGTGGGATGAAGCGCATTTGGCAGGCATTCGCGAATGATAAAAAGCAGTTTACGACTATCCCACAAGAGAAAAGTATATAGCAAATGCATCTTACTGGTACTTACCAGTACGGTGTAGAAGCCAGGAGGCTAACGGAGGGGGTTCAGTTTAAATTTAGGACGACACCACGAGCCATGAAAAGGAAAGTGATTGGTGTAACCTTGAGGGCAGGAAGTGAGCATAGTGGGCCAGGGAACAAACGAGCGTTAAGGATATCGTAGTCGAAACTAAGAGGGATAAACGAACGTGCGCAGCTTCGCATAGATGGGTGAAGACTGGGAAGGAAAAGGAGACAGAATAAAATGTGAATTCGCTATTTTGGAACATGTGCAGGACACACAATTAGACGGCAAGATAACCACCGGGTATCATGGGTTGCCGAGTGAATTCCAAAAGAAGGAAGAACGTTAGGTACTAAGGTGATAAGAAGTTTGCGAAGATAACGTGACAGCGTGCAGGAAGCACAGACCCGAGTTGATTGGCGAAACATTACCAAGCCTTGGCTTTGCATTGAGCGCAGTCAGGCTGATACTGATGATGATGATGCATTATGACAGACGGGTTGCAGCGGGCGATCATATCGAACACCAAGTCGTAAATTCTCTCTCCTCGAGCACAAGGGTAGTGGAACACATGACATGGCAATCGAGGCTGTGTTTAGATATGCCCATCTCCACTGCGCGCAATATAAATGCACATGCCATGGGCTTGCGCACAAGGCAGTAGGGAGGCCTTTTTTACGCTCCTTTAAAATTTTCCAGTAGAGAAGTGTGTATTTTGCCGTGAGGTGCATCGTCTTGTGTTGCTTGCCAATGGGCTTGCCGCATGCGACTGGCCTCACCGCGTATAATGTGAGGTATTTTCCTTTCGTATAGAACTGTGACTAATTCTTAACCGTGCGGTACCGCAGGCGACTGCGGCGACCTGGACGCCATGGTGCTAGAGATACCGTACCAGGACCCGAGCAAGACCATGGTGGTGTTCTTGCCCAGCATGGAGCGCTTGGCGACGTTCGAGCACAGCTTGACGCCGGCAAAGCTGCTACGATGCCTGGCCAATCTGCAGGAGCGAGAGGTCGAGGTGAGCGCTTTTCCGAGAAATAGTTGTTTTACAACACGAAGGAATCGTTACACTTTGCTGAGATGAAAAAGGAAAACTGGCGTTCGACGTCGAGTCCTCCCAGACAAGTGCATTATGAACGACAATAGGGACGTTTGGCCTCCTCGTGTCGCTGACGAGCATTAGTGACACTTCGAGTATAATTAACGCTAGGGTCATTTACCCGGTACTTATATACATTGATTTTAGTGCTAATATTGACGTCTACGTTCCAAGGTGACGATGCCAGTGCTGCGGCTGAAGCGACACACCGAGATGGCGCGCATCGTGTCGATGCTGAGCGCACCGGAGGTGTTCAAGAGCCGTGGTCAGCTCGGAGGCATGAGCGACGACAAGAGCTTGTTCGTGTCCACGCTCACCCACGTCACCGTGTTCCATGCGAACACCAGGGGAGGAAAGGTGAGGGCGCGATTAGTGCGAGGGGTAGTCATTGTTACTGTTGTGAGGTCACAACCACCGATTTCTGCGGCCGAGAAATTGCGTCACAGGTGCCTTTGTGCGAGTCGCGTCGAGGAAAAAACGAATCCCAACATGAAAACATAACGACTGTTTATTCGCTTAGTAGCATCAACGGGTGAGCACATCGACGATATGCTCGTTCGTATAGCGAAGGGAGAATCTTGCAGTCTCGGCAGCCTGTTATAGTAGCCCGCCAGTGACGCATATCTCTGGTGATGCTGCGATGACGCAATGTAATGCTTTCTGTAATGCTTACATGCCCTGCACTTTTAGACTACAGGTGCATGCATGTCATCTGGGTGTCTTGGAATCTTCACGGGGAAAAAGTGACGAATTTGTGGTCTGTTTAATTAAGAAGCGCACGTGCCCTGTTTCGTTGACCAAAGCCTCAGGTGCCGCTCACGAGCGAGCCTCCGAGCACCACCAGGCCGACTCCGGCTACCACCAGGGCAACACCGGAGCCGGTCAGGTTCACCGTTGACCGGCCCTTCATGTTCCTGGTGATGAACAAAGACCCTGACGCGGTGCTGGTCCTCGGGTCTGTCAAGAGGGTCTCATCTAGGAAGACCAAGGTTCCGCCCATTAACTGACAGCACCCTGCCGTTGTAGTGGCCCTTTTATGGCGTTCGACGAACTTGTGTCATTAGTACATACTCATTAAAGTAATAGTGTCCCTAGACGACGTCGGAGTGTCTTTTCTCCTTGTTAAATCTTAAGCGCTTTTTTTTGTTGACCGTACGCATTCAGCCCATGAATAAATGCTTTTACAACATTCGAATGTGATTTAGACTCAATTTATGTACGTTTCAACTTTAGTGCTGAAGGAGAGTTAAAGCAGGTCATATGTTTTTCACAGTGATATGGTATCACGCCGCAACTTCAACATAAGTCTACCTTGTTAACGCATATACGCAACATAGGCCGTAACTTCAACATAAGTTTACTTTGTGAACGTATATATGAAACAACATAGCCACCAAGTGGCCGGAACATTTCCATCACATCCTGTGACTGGTTACTCGAACCACTTCTGCCACGTGTACCACATCTTAGTGCCTTTCATCCTTTCTTCGCTTAGCTGCCGTAGGCGCCGCACTTGATCTGGCTTGAAATGTCGCTTCCATTCTTCTGCGTCGCCCTTGCAAACATAGTTCGCAGAAACCTTGTCTAACGGTTCACTGGGTCGCGAGAGTGACTTTACCACACCAGCACTGCGACCACGTGAGGCAGCCGACATGAGGGGTTTCACGGTCTTAAGACATCCGGCCGATGTCCTGTCCACCACGTGCCGTAGGAGTCGTTCATCTCCGCGGAGCTTGGAGGCAATTTTGGTGTCCAGGAAGTCTGCGATTTCAAGGGTGACGGTGGCCGGACGTTCCCCGAGCGTCTCGTAGTGTAGGAAGAGAACGTTGGTGTCGTCGCGACGAGCGTACCAGGAAAGGACGTGATCGAAGTACGAGCCGAACGGTACGCGACCTTCCAGGAACCGCTCCAAGAAGTCGTCAAACGTCGCGACGCCCGGAAGGAGGCCAACAGAGGGCTCGGCTCGACAATGGTAGTAGAAGGAGACGGCGACGTCGAACGGATTTCGCACTAGCACGACATACTTGGCCAGCGGGTGGTACGGCGAGAGCCAGAAGGGCAGGTGGTGCTTGATGACGCGAGGCTCGGGCAGCGCGCCGACCATCCTTCGGCCAACCTGCGCGACACATGCGGGCATCGTGGCTTACATCACGAAGATGCATCCAGGGAAGAAAGTAAGAGCTCTATATTCAAAAGCTGAAAGGGTACTCATGCATAGAAGTATTCGGCTACATGCCTAATTGTTTTCTAAGTAGGTGGGCAAGAGAGAGAGAGAGAGAAACAGCTTTATTAAAACAAGACTCTCTGTTTACGGTGAGTATAGCCCCTCGTCCAAGACCCCCCTGACTGCTACGACTCTGCAAACCTGGCCAAGGTTTTCCAAATGGTTTTCAAAATCCATATTGAAGCTGAATTTATTACGCCGTACAAATCCCCTGTATTCAGAAATTTGCATAGCTGGACAAGTGTCGAGCTTATTATAGGGAACGCCGATCAGATATTTTATTTTCAGATTCAAGTCACATTTCGCAGAGTGCATAAACGGATAACGACACTACCGTGAAGCCAAGCTACACTATCAATTATGGTGACGAATTCACAGACAAAAGTATCTACTCGAGATGACGTCTGCTGCTTTGCATACGCGTCCTCCCTCTCGCCTGGTCTCTTTTCTCCGGCGTTGTTTTACTGCGAATGTGAACCAGCTAGCCCGCAAGTACATCTTGACACGATACCAAAACATGCAGAATGGCCACTTGAGAGTCGCCAACGCAGGCAGCCACAGATCGGAGTGGCCGCGCAGATGGCACGACATCTTGTGCCACACGAGACGAAAAGCTCATGACGTGTCATGACGTCACAGTAGATTAGGAGCATAATCCTTTTCAGCGGCAAATTTGTGCAATTGTACACATCAACTTCGGAGACGTGTCACGTACCTCACATTTCTTCGAACAGCTTAAAAATTAGCCTGCACATTTGTGCAGGCTTCCTGAACGGACAACCAGCGCTCATTTAACTTTATTGTGCTGGATGTTCTTGCAGAGCAAAAACTTCGCTTGAGACAATATCGCGTTCGACGACTATTCGAACGGTCGCGTTCCAGGACTAATGTCGAGAGAATTCTTTTTTCTTGCTCGAAATTGATACAACCAAAAAAACTGACTCTGCGTACTATTCAGGGCTAACATTTGATTCTCTTTGTGCAAAGATTCAAGCTCACTGACTGCAGAATAAGTAGGTGTTAATTAAATGCTAATTAACATAACTTGCGTAAAGTCGCAAAAATGGCACATTGCTTCATCTTCTTTCTCAGTATGTAATACACAGTGACTTGGAATTATCGCATGTTAATTTTCTGTATTTGCAGACAGCGGATCGTAATAGACGCCTGAGGGGGTATATGTATGTATTTTCGCAGACATGCTGCAACTAATTTTTCAGGTGACACGCACACTTACAAGCACATTTTCTAAGGGCTCAAAGGGCTTGGTCTCTCATTCGACGCAGAAAAACGACTATTGGAAATTTTTTGTGTCCGAACCCCTTTAGCACGTTGTCAAACCAACCAGGTCAGTTCCCCACCTTGGTGAACTTACAAGCTCCAGGAACGACATGTGCCGAGTCATGGTGTCCATGAGAGACGGCACTCCCTCGTCCATGCGGTCCAAGTTCAGGAGCAGCCAGACGATGCGCTGCATCCACGAGGTGCCCGACTTCGGGTACGTGGCCACGAAAACGTCGCTCGGTCGCGCCTTGTACCGCAGAGCGTCGCGTACCACTTCGACGTTGAAGGCCTTCGGCGGTACCGGAAGGCCGTCGACGACATATTCCAACTCGACTGGAGCAGTCGGGGGCCCCGTGGTGACCACTGCCTTACGGGAACCACAGTCCGGCTCCTCAACTTGGTCGTCGACGTTGTGGGTCAACTTGAAGAGGTATTCGTGGTCGTCTCGGTTTCTGCTGCGGATGCCGAGCAGTCGCACAATGTTCGACATTGTTCTAAAAAGTAAGTTTCCTTGAGGTGCTCTTCCAAGACCAGTATAGGGGCCCGAGTACGCTGTGGCAATCAATATCGCGAGAAATATTAAGCGAATGTGGATGCAATTCGTGAGGTATCACCGAGCCGTCAAGTTAGGTCCGCATCGACATACCCTGGTATATTGAATCGTTTTTACAATAAACAGGAGCTTGCATTCACAAAACCGTCTTCCGTTAAAAATTTTCGCAAGAGAACATCTTAGTCAATCACGATTTGGGACGTATGATGACTGATAGAGTCCGGCTGACCAATAGGAAAATGCACTTACGAAGGAAAACACTGCGGTCGCCACTGCACTGCTACGGCGGCGGATTCAGCCCTTGTATTTCCCTAAGCAAGCCCATAAGTGTTGCGATGCTTCAGTATAGTAAAGCTGTCTTCACCATCAAGGCACTGCTCCCTTCTCACGCACACCACAAGCAAGGTGCTACTATGCGCTCGAAGTTATCACGGCATCGATGACATCGTCCGCTGTGCCTTTCCGGGCTAAAGCACGCAATTGCAGAGACGGGCTATCATATGTGTCCTCTACAATCCTCCATGAGTCTGTGCCCTCCACGAACGGTCCGTGCAAGCGCGCGGCTCCAGAAACTGCTATAGAAGGCATCCTAAAGTAAGTCACGTGCAACGTCATCGCCAATGACGCTGCTGCGTTCGCTGAAGGCGCAGTTATTGTCGAGGCAGCGGATGAGATAGTGCAGCGACGAATTCGTTGAAAGACATATGAGCGAATTCATCAAGAAGAAGAAAGGCGTTTCCTTTGTACCGTATGCTGCGCGAGCGACGCGGGCCCTTGACTACGCGCGAATGAACACGCTGCGTGCAACGCGTCAAGCGTGGCAGCGGAATGATAACGCGCGTTTAGGACTATCTCCGTTGCGAGAACGACGTGCGCTTCTTGGCTTCTTGGCTTGATGCGGCGATCGGCTATGCAGACGCCGATGCGCCTTCCACGCAGATTACGCAAGCGCGCCGCTGATGATTGATTTGTGGGCTTTAACGTCCCAAAACCACCATATGATTGTGAGAGACGCCGTAGTGGAGGACTCCGGAAATTTCGACCACCTGGGGTTCTTTAACGTGCACCCAAATCTGAGCACACGGGCCCACAACATTTCCGCCTCCATCGGACATGCAGCCGGGATTCGATACCGCGACCTGCGGGTCAGCAGCCGACTACCTTAGCCGCGGCGGAGCGCGCAAGTGCGCTTGAACCACCTCCATCAGCGTCTCTATGTACAATTGAACGCGTAAAGTGCGGAGGCACGTCGCGCACCACGTGTTGCTTCAAATGATTTGAAGTGACTTGAAATGACTTTGTGTCCGTCTTGTCGTTTGTTGCGCTACATTATGAATTCGATCCGGCACCAACTAGCCCAGGAAGAAACACTTCTGCAGGACTTGAAAATCAGTATGCGCATTTGTACATACAATTAAATTTATACTTATTAGGATGAACAAGAATTCAAAATAATTAAGCTAGGGGAATAACTGTACTAACGAACGGTCAACTTCAACATTGCGTTTCGCTTGTTTGCCTTGAATTTTAGCAACCTTCATCCCCATGCCCTATTTCATCTGTCTAACAAGCGCCTTTGTCATAGTGAAATGACCTCCCGTCGCTCTCACTGCAATCTCGTTCGGTGTCCCGGCTTGTACGGGACACCGGACTTTGCGGCTCGGCGGCACGTCAACGATGGTTGGTACTTATACGTACCACTGCTTTTCGCCACCATGTATGGTACGGGGTTTCAGACTAGCAATGTGTCTGGTGAGTGAAGTTATTGAAGCGGATAATGTTTTGATCGATTCGTTCTAGTGGATTTCCCGCAGTTTGATAATAGAGCCAGTTTTGAAGTCGGTGCCTGTTCCTCGTTTTGGCGGGCTCGTCTGTACGATCTTTTTTTTTTCCTTGTCGGGCTCAACTATCTTAAAACCAGATAGATGAAAGAGCCAGGGCTGCCAGACTAGGCTAAATGGGAAACCATATTATTATTTGTCTTTATTGGCGTGTGATAATCTCATTTGTCTACATGATGATTGCGGTAGCCTTTTACCTCTGTATTACCATATGCAAAAAAATCTCATTTTAACAGCACTTTTAACATGATGTCTGCAAAGCACCAAAGTGCTTTGCAGACATCATGGTAAGAATCTTGTATAGCATTGCCATTTTCTGGGCGTGTTGGTAAGCAGAACTCGAGAACATGTTTAGCACCAGCAAACAAGGACATACTGAGAGAGAAGACCGCACAATGCACTAACTTGAACAGTTTTATTTCCAGGAGAAAAACAAAATCGCCATTTCCCGCATACCTTGTAAATCGACGTTATGCGAAGCATGTGGAGGGAAGGTGACCGTGTTGTAATTTTTTTTTATTGAGCGACACGTTATGAAACGACGCTTTATATATGTAAAAATGTTGCACGCACAGACACATGTTGAACAGTTGCAGATGCTGATGTAACCAGTTATTTTCACTTGCGCAACGATGCCAACAGGAACATGTGTATTAGCAACACCAGAAGCAATGGGCTCATATGAAACGCTGGTGCTCGCGAGGATGGTAGCCTTGGACACTGCTACATTATTCAACTTCAGCGGTTGGCACCTAACTACAATTGACGTTAACCTGACGGGCTAGCAGTATCAAAGGAGTACATATGCTGTGCTTATGAAATTAGATAGCCAGCACTGCAACCACAATTGACGATTCACAAACATTACGGTCTCTCTGAAAAATAGTTTTGTTATATTTTTGGGGGGTGGGGGAAGGAGGTGAAAGTGAGCACGCCAGGCCACAATATGGTCACGAAACACAAGCACTCCCCAAAAGGTGCAAACTCTTATTTTTCTTCCTTTTTTTATAGAGTGTGGAACCAACGTGTAAGTACGAATCCGAACTACCAAGTAGAACTAAGGAAGTAGCCAACCAACGCCCCCTTTTGTTTCTTCTTCTTCTTGTATAGGCTCAAGCCCACTACGTGGATTTGGCAAAGATTTGATGGCAAATTTTTCAGCAAATATATCCGCCTAAGTTCACTAAGGTTTTTTTTTTTTTTTTTTGAAGTGGTACCTTGACTGTGTCAAGCCTGACAAAACTAATCGTATATTATTAGTTAGTAGAGTTATACGTGTCAAAACCACGAAAAAAATTCTGCAATACATCGTAGAAGACTGCTCCGAAAATTTTGACCATCTGGTGTTCCGTTCCCGACGTGGAAGATGCTCACTGCGCGCTAGGGCCAATCAATCAATCGGCCAATCGATAAATCAATTAATCAATCTGATGTTCCTTAACATAGACTACTACCACAGATTACAAGGGCCCCAAGCTATTCGCCTCCATCCGAATGCGACCGCCGTGGTCCCGATCAATCCTCGACTCTTGAATCAGCAGCCGGGCGGACAACACGAGTAATATTGTTTGCATTCAAATGCACTTTGAATTATCAGAACTCATGGAGCCGATCGTAAAGGCGGCCTATGAAGTATGCATCACTATCATTGTCGTCTGGTAGTTTGGAACAGTCCATCATGAGTGAATGTGACAAAGGTGGACCTAAACTTATGATTTCATTATTATTCAGCATTAACTTAAACAACTCAAGAATCATGTATTAGGAGTAGTGTTTATGTCATTACAAAACTCTCATTATTTATGTCCTTACTGCAACTTTTCATCGTATTTAGAGCGATTACCATATTCCAATTTCAAAAAGAAATGTTTTTTCCTTCCCATGCTCAGACCTTAATTTTTTCCCCGCCGTCTTCTTCACCCATCCCCTGCAGTGGGTACGAGCCAGAACAGAAGAACAAGCAAGAAAGGTGAACAAGAACGAGAACCTTTGGAACGAGCTAGCCACCCGCGCCTTCGTCGTTTCTCGAAGCCCCCGGGTCAACCGACCAGACCATCTGCACATTCGGCGCACCACGTGTAGACCCCTTCAGGCGAGAAACCAGACGTTCCCGGTTGCTCTTGATTTTTCGTGTTCTTATGTTTTTTCATTGCAATATCAATAATACCGATCTAGAAGCGAATTTTTACCACCACCGTCGGCGTAGGTGTCGCCGTGATGTTCCGTATAAATTCCAAGGGCAACAACACCCGTATACTCTTTGTGCGAGTGAAAGCGTGCGTGGGCTGCCGATGGTCGCGACTGGAGCGGTGATAACACGCCACGGCCGTCCTATGTCACGCAAAATGTTCATAGGGGATCCAAGAACAGGGCCTGGTTAGCTGCGTCAGGAACTGCTGTTATATATTGGTTTCCAAACGCCAAATGGTGGTCAAGAGGGCTAGGTTGGTACGTGGACAGTTATTCCAAACAGCGCAAAAATAGGACGGAGAAGACACCAGACAACACAGGCACTCACTTCCAACAAAGTTTTGTTGCGCGAACGCAAAACATACAGAAAAGAAAATGAAAGAAGACATGTCACGTACACGTTTTGTCAAGAAAATGACGTATCTGCAATATTAACTTATTCAAAAGAGAATAACCTAGTCATTTCTTTTCTCATGTACATCACGTGTCTTCTCTCGTCCTTTCCTGTGCGTATAATTTGCGCTCTCGCAATAAAACCCTGTTGAAAGTAGGCCCCTGCGTTGTGTGGCCTTTTCAGTGCGAGCACCGTTTCTGCACTGTTTGTAAAAGCTAAATCAGTTTCGGTTTCTAGCCTGTTATGTTCCTCGCAGGGGCCATATTTCTACTGTGTATATTGCATTGTCACTATTAAATTGGAGTCCCACATGCGCTCCTCGGCTGCGTCTCGTCTGTATGATTGATATGCGAGATTTAACATCCCAAAAGCACCATATGATTATTGAAGTCACCGTAGTGGAGGGCTGCGGAAATTTCGACCGCCTGGGGTTCTTTAGCGTGCACCCAAATTCTATCACACGGGCCTACAGCATTTTCGCCTCCATCGAAAATGCAGCCGCCGCAGCCGGG